GTGTTCTCACCGGTTCGCCCAATATCTACCTAACATTAATGGCCAAAAATTATCAGATAAACGGGTTTCGGAAAAACACTCCCCTTGTGATTGTTGACAGCGTGTTGATGATGGCAGAACTTTGGTCTCCATAAGACTTCGTCCAAGAGAATTTGTAGGAGCTGAATTTGCTCCACTGCGCCTCTGGTCTTAACAACAATGGCTGACCTCCTCCTCACTGACGCTACTGGCCTACTTTGTCTAGATGTCAGTAACTGATAGAAGGGTCACATTTACTTTATTTTGATACTGATATTTAAGTTAATTCAAATGAGATGTTTTTATGATGGTAAAAGTCCAAAGACTAATGTATTTAAGAATAATTCCCAACATAATAGTTGGTGAATTTATAATAGTATGTGGCAATGATATCCCGTTTTCTATTGACGGAAAATTCCACTACAAGCTACATTTCCTATGGGTTAACTTGTGTATGCAACGCAGCAGCAATATTATCTGCCTGTTGAATTGATATCATTAAATGGTGTCGGATTTTTCGACATGAGGATTTATTGCCAAACAAAATATAGAAAGTTTTGTCAATGTTAAGGGTGAGTTTGTTAGCAGTTAGCCAAAGATGGACTTCATTTTGTTTAGTATTCACTGTGTCATTTAGAGCAAGGGGGTCAGGACTGGAGAAAAGGAAGATTGTGTCGTCAGCAAATAGAATTGGTTTGAGGGGCTGAGAGGCATTTGGAAGGTCATTAATGTAGACGAGAAAGAGGAGAGGGCCAAGTATGCTGCCCTGAGGAACACCAATGTTGATGGGTAGGGTGGGAGAAATTGAATTATTCACAGAAGCATACTGGAGCCTGTCAGTAAGGTAAGACTGAAGATATTGGAGGGAGTGACCTCTCCTCCATAATGATGTAATTTAAGAAGAAGGTTTTGGTGGTTGACAGTGTCAAAAGCCTTACATAGGTCAACAAATAACCCAACAGGGAACTCATTTTTATCAAGAGCTGTATGTATCAAGTTAATCATACTAATAAGTGCATCGTTAGTGCTTTTTTTGGGTCTGATGCCATATTGGCAAGAGCTAAGTATATTGTGTTTGGCTAGATTCACCAGTCTCCGTGGTATAGTGGTAAGACACTCGCCTGGCGTTCCGCGAGCGCTATGTCATGGGTTCGTATCCTGGCCGGGGAGGATTTACTGGGCGCAATTCCTTAACTGTAGCCTCTGTTTAACGCAACAGTAAAATGTGTACTTGGATGAAAAAACGATTCTTCGCGGCCGGGATCGTATTCCAGGGACCTGCCCGAAACGCTACGCGTACTAGTGGCTGTACAAGAATGTAACAACTCTTGTATATATCTCAAAAAAAAAAAAAAAAAAGATAAGAGTAAAGCTTCTTATAGATTAGTTTTTCAAATATTTTTGACAAGTTAGGCAGAATTGATATAGGTCTGTAGTTGTTGACATCAGTGAGATCACCACATTTATGGACTAGGGATACTCTCGCTTTTATTTTTTAGAATATCTGGAAAGGTTTGGAGTGCAAGTGACTTCTTGAAGAGCAATGCAATGGCAGGAGCTAAAAATCTGGAGGCTTTTTTGTAAATTAAAGTTAGTATCTTTTCAAGGGCACTAGACTTTGTTTTAAGGGAAAGGATTATCTCATTATCATCAGTGGAATTAGTAGGCGTTAGGTACAGAGACTGTGGGCAGTTACCTGTAAGATTTTCCTGAACATTAGTACTGGAAGATGGAATATCATTAGCAAGGGATGACCCAATAGATGAGAAGAACCTATTGAATTCAAAAGCAGTATCAGAGGCTGAAAGCAGACCATCGTTATTGGACAGGAGTATTGGTTTGTTATTTAAAATCTTCATTAATCCCAATATTTGTGAAAAGTGCTCCATGTTTTCTTAATGTTGCCCTTTACTGTTGCCCTACACTGTTTCGCCGCATCGCAGACGCCCCACATCAAAAGCGCCCACCCTCCTCCCGGGATCCTCTGTATCCCCTGTTTTCTTTCACGGGATGACAATCAGGCAGGCTCAGGTGACACTTTTGTTCTATCCTGCTACGCATTTGTGTTACCTCTGGGGGTGCTCCGCCGGAGCCCCCAAAGCCAAGACATATTAACAAGAATTGTCATTAGTGTAAATGCAAATAATGCAACTTTCAGTTACTAATTATAGATGTAACGATTAATTGTAATTGAGTTATACACTATCTTTATAATGGCTATTCTCTAATATTATTTCAGGATAATAATTCTTTGTTATTCACTAATTTTTATTAGTCACATAATTAATTATTATCCACTTAAACTATCTATTTTAGTCGCCATAATTAGTTATTATGCTTCATCATAATTAATGTTTATTATTATAATTAATTATTTATTATAATTAATTATTTATTAATTATTAAATAAACAAGTCCCCCACTCTGTGCGCGTTTTCTTCCAACCACAGAAAATGAGTTTGCAGTGATCAATTAGTGTCTAGTAACTCATCTAGTTGCATGTCACTGCGACCCTAGACATTGATCTCACTGTCGATTCAATATCTCCTTGATCTCAAAGAGACATATAGAATAATTAATCATTACATAGATGTACCCTGATAACAGATCATACCTGTCACACAGATCCGGGACATTCGTTATGTAAATACTAACCAACAAACATATAAGAATGTAACTTCAGGGAAAGGGAACAGGTACGTTAGTACATAACAATGAACTATGACTCGTAATTTCCCGCCCCGGAGTTATGTTGGAAATTTCCAACAATTATTCTCATCCCTAATACAATAGGATGTATTTCCTGTATTAGGCTTCATTATTATTTAATACTCATTTACTAATCCTTAGTACAATGGGATGTATTTCCTGTACTAAGCGTAATAATTAACTAACACTACTAATCCGTAGTTTAGTGTCATAGAATTCATTGCATTAGGATGTGGAACATCATGTAATTTCTCCTAGAATTGTGCAGTGTTGCGTCAGCCACCCACGGAGCATAAATTTCCACATATCTGTAGATCTAATAGAAGTCAAACCATTTATTTTCCTTTATCAAGGAAAATTATTTAGTAATAGGTTTACTTTTAGTATACAACAGTTTACTGGAATTCCTTAACCCAGCTTGATCGCTGTTCTAGTAAATAATATCATAATCTAAAATCATTTCCGCCTCCAAAGGATTCTCGTTTTATTTATGCAGTCTACACTAACTGACCTGCACTGTCAGAATCAAATATCACCACATAAAGTATTTGAGTAAAATATAAACAACATTTATAAACGCTTCCTTCCCTATTTAGCTTAAATGAATAAATATGATTTATGTTCCCCCTACTTGGAGCTATGAGCATGCACGACATTCGGGACGGAAGGAGACTCTCGCCATTTTCGATCACCTAGCAGTACGGTGTTCCGAAGCGGTCCCAACAAATCTTACAATCCAGAAGGCATCCGTACATCCTCGGACGTCAGATTGAGGACGCAGCTTACCAGAATCACGGACACCAGTTCGGCAGGCATTTTTATCTCATTTGTTCTATTTAACGAGCTCTTAAATATGTTCATGTAGGTGCTATGTCGTAACGCTGCAGGTGATAAAATAAACCCCATGTAAGTGCAGTTTCTTCCCCTCCAAATATTTAGATATTATATTTATGTGCGTGAATACTAGTTTGGAGTAGAAATTATGGAATTTAATTATTGCAGCCTGGTGCAACACCACTGAGGAAGCGTGTGACTGCCATATACTCACGTGTTCCATGTATCACTATCTCAAGCTGTTTCCAGACTGTTGTAGAGATTGGACTCCACCTACGTCCCTCTGTCACAGCTGAGATTTAATCAGTTTTCATTGTAGATAGTATCTTTTAATTATTGAGAGTCAAGCATTTTTAATCTTTGTATATTAATCAGATACATGACATTTACATACCACAGAGTCTATCACAGATTAAGAAAGTAATTAGAAAAAGAGCAATGCAAAAGATGTACAGTGACCACAACACAGCAGTTGCAACATCAGGATCTGCGGGTTGGTACAAGAATTCAACCAACTACGAACCACTTAGTTTGATAGTTTGATGAAAGGGAACAGTAGAGCAACAGAAGTACACTTACATCGCATCAGGCTTGGATACCCATGTGCATGGGAAATAGGCTTACAGGTTCCGGAAGATGAGAGGAAATGTCAACACTGTGGAGAAATGCCCGACAGACCACTGGAACATTATCTAACACAGTGCACAGTTACAAACCCATTAAGATTTCAACTTAGATTCAACAGAGCAGAAGAAGTTGTTAAACACATATGGCAAAATCTTACTAAAGCGACCATACGAGTCATAAATACTCATACTCCGCCCAAGTAAAACAGAAACAAGCAACACTTAGTGGGCCAGCCAGAGGCTTAGGGCCCGCGCAGGAATATCCCTGCAAAAAAAAAAAAAAAAAAAAATCAGATACATGATTTGAATTTTAATATGCAGTAGTATTTCTTGCATTGCATTTTATTTATCATTATCTATGTTCGTGCATATTATCATTATTATTATTACATAATATATGTTACACATAGATTAACCTCATAGAAGACCCCCCAAAATGTGTCATGGGAAGCTGGTTCTAGCATGCATACAATTTAGTCATTGCTTAATACAATATAATTATATATAATCATAAAGATCCATAAGTCACTGGTTCTCTCATTTAATGATGCATTCTGGTCCTTCGAGCTATCTTAGATTTAATCATTGTTTGCATTTATAGAATTATACATTTTATTAGTATTAAACTAGAGCCAGATTTCCCCACAGGTGGCTTAGGCATGAGTTGTCTGGAAGTGGAAAGAGTTGACCAGTCTTCAATCTTTAACTTTTCGACCCTGTTTACTCAGCAGTAACTGGTCATCTGTTTGTAATCCACATGGCAGGACATGTTCTATGAAATCCTAGTAGGATAAGGTTTAAGCAGAAGCATGAGCGGGGTAATATTTAATCCTTCTTTACAGAGTCCTACACACCTAGATAAAGAAAAAAGGGCCATTAGCCCACGTGAGTCACCTGTATGCCAGATGCATCAATATGTACAGTATACACATTATCATGAACTCCATTAAAACACATAATGATAACACTCAACTTGTAACTTGAAAACAAACTTTGTATAGAAGCTCCTTGATGTTGTCAAGAGAACATGAAATAACAAATATGTTGTTTCTGACAATATTGTCAATAAAGGAAGTGAAACAAGTATATACAAGCAGTCTCAGAAAGTATTACACAGCAAACAACAGCTGGTACAATAATGATAAAATACTTCCATTGAGATTCAGATAAATGTAATGAGTCAGAGGAAGCACACGGCCTGCCTGGCGAAACTAGTACACACAGAAGTAACTCCGCCGCTCTCCACAAGTGGCAGCACTGCGCGCCCTCACTGCCGCAGCCTCCAAACAAACGCTCGCAGCTTGCCAAACATGGTGGCGAGGCGGCCCTTGTGGGGCTCTCCGGAGGGCCGCCACATCCCCAGCCCTCTCTTCTGGGCGAGCGCCTCAGCCCTCAGCAGCCGGGCGTAGAGGGCCAGGTACTGCGGGTCCTCCTGGAGGGCCAAGTCCAGGGGCCCCGGCACCGCCACCCCCTCACGCACTAGCGCCTCGTTCACCGTCCTCCCCAACACCTGTGATGAGTAGTGAACACCTGTGATGAGTAGTGAACACCTGTGATGAGTGGTGAACACCTGTGATGAGTAGTGAACACTTGTGATGAGTGGTGAACACCTGTAATGAGTGGTGAACACCTGTGATCAGTAGTGAACACCTGTGATGAGTAGTGAACACCTGTGATGAGTAGAGAACACCTGTGATGAGTAGTGAACACCTGTGATGAGTAGTGAACACCTGTGATGAGTAGTGAACACCTGTGATGAGTAGTGAACACCTGTGATGAGTGGTGATCACCTGTGATGAGTAGTGAACACCTGTGATGAGTAGTGAACACCTGTGATGAGTAGTGAACACCTGTGATGAGTAGTGAACACCTGTGATGAGTGGTGAACACCTGTGATGAGTGGTGAACACCTGTGATGAATAGTGAACACCTGTGATGAGTAGTGAACACCTGTGATGAGTAGTGAACACCTGTGATGAGTAGTGAACACCTGTGATGAGTAGTGAACACCTGTGATGAGTAGTGAACACCTGTGATGAGTAGTGAACACCTGTGATGAGTAGTGAACACCTGTGATGAGTAGTGAACACCTGTGATGAGTAGTGAACACTTGTGATGAATAGTGAATACCTGTGATGAGTAGTGAACACCTGTGATGAGTAGTGAACACCTGTGATGAATGGTGAACACCTGCGATGAGTAGTGAACACCTGTGATGGGTAGTGAACACCTGTGATGAGTAGTGAACACCTGTGATGAGTAGTGAACACCTGTGATGAGTAGTGAACACCTGTGATGAGTAGTGAACACCTGTGATGAGTGGTGAACACCTGTGATGAGTGGTGAACACCTGTGATGAGTAGTGAACACCTGTGATGAGTAGTGAACACCTGTGATGAGTAGTGAACACCTGTGATGAGTAGTGAACACCTGTGATGAGTAGTGAACACTTGTGATGAGTAGTGAACACCTGTGATGAGTAGTGAACACCTGTGATGAGTAGTGAACACCTGTGATGAGTAGTGAACACCTGTGATGAGTAGTGAACACCTGTGATGAGTAGTGAACACTTGTGATGAGTAGTGAACACCTGTGATGAGTAGTGAACACCTGTGATGAGTAGTGAACACCTGTGATGAGTAGTGAACACCTGTGATGAGTAGTGAACACCTGTGATGAGTAGTGTTACTCTCTTTGACCTCTCACACAACCATCTACCACCACCACCTCCCACACAACCATCTACCACCACCACCCAGCACAACCATCTACCACCACCACCCACACAACCATCTACCACCACCACCCACACAACCATCTACCACCACCACCCAGCACAACCATCTACCACCACCACCCACACAACCATCTACCACCACCTCCCACACAACCATCTACCACCACCTCCCACACAACCATCTACCAGCACCACCCACACAACCATCTACCACCACCACCCAGCACAACCATCTACCACCACCACCCAGCACAACCATCTACCACCACCACCCACACAACCATCTACCACCACCACCCAGCACAACCATCTACCACCACCACCCACACAACCATCTACCACCACCACCCAGCACAACCATCTACCACCACCTCCCACACAACCATCTACCACCACCTCCCACACAACTATTTACCACCACCACCTCCCACACAACCATCTACCACCACCACCCAGCACAACCATCTACCACCACCTCCCACACAACCATCTACCACCACCACCCAGCACAACCATCTACCACCACCTCCCACACAACCATCTACCACCACCTCCCACACAACAATCTACCACCACCTCCCACACAACCATCTACCACCACCACCTCCCACACAACTATCTACCACCACCACCCAGCACAACCATCTACCACCACCTCCCACACAACCATCTACCACCACCACCCAGCACAACCATCTACCACCACCTCCCACACAACCATCTACCACCACCTCCCACACAACCATCTACCACCACCTCCCACACAACCATCTACCACCACCACCTCCCACACAACTATCTACCACCACCACCACCCACACAACCATCTACCACCACCACCTCCCACACAACTATCTACCACCACCACCTCCCACACAACCATCTACCACCACCACCTCCCACACAACTATCTACCACCACCACCTCCCACACAACCATCTACCACCACCACCCACACAACCATCTACCACCACCTCCCACACAACTATCTACCACCACCACCTCCCACACAACCATCTACCACCACCACCTCCCACACAACTATCTACCACCACCACCACCCACACAACCATCTACCACCACCACCCACACAACCATCTACCACCACCACCACCCACACAACCATCTACCACCACCACCACCCACACAACCATCTACCACCACCTCCCACACAACCATCTACCACCACCTCCCACACAACCATGTACCACCACCTCCCACACAACCATCTACCACCACCACCACCCACACAACCATCTACCACCACCACCACCCACACAACCATCTACCACCACCACCACCCACACAACCATCTACCACCCCCACACAACCATCTACCACCCCCACACAACCATCTACCACCCCCACACAACCATCTACCACCCCCACACAACCATCTACCACCCCCACACAACCATCTACCACCACCACCACCACCTACACAACCATCTACCACCACCACCACCCACACAACCATCTACCACCACCACCCACACAACCATCTACCACCACCTCCCACACAACCATCTACCACCACCTCCCACACAACCATCTACCACCACCTCCCACACAACCATCTACCACCACCACCACCCACACAACCATCTACCACCACCACCACCCACACAACCATCTACCACCACCTCCCACACAACCATCTACCACCACCTCCCACACAACCATCTACCACCACCTCCCACACAACCATCTACCACCACCACCACCCACACAACCATCTACCACCACCACCACCCACACAACCATCTACCACCACCACCACCCACACAACCATCTACCACCACCACCCACACAACCATCTACCACCACCTCCCACACAACCATCTACCACCACCTCCCACACAACCATCTACTACCACCTCCCACACAACCATCTACCACCACCACCACCCACACAACCATCTACCACCACCACCACCCACACAACCATCTACCACCACCTCCCACACAACCATCTACCACCACCTCCCACACAACCATCTACCACCACCACCACCCACACAACCATCTACCACCACCACCCACACAACCATCTACCACCACCTCCCACACAACCATCTACCACCACCTCCCACACAACCATCTACCACCACCTCCCACACAACCATCTACCACCACCTCCCACACAACCATCTACCACCACCACCACCCACACAACCATCTACCACCACCACCACCCACACAACCATCTACCACCACCTCCCACACAACCATCTACCACTACCTCCCACACAACCATCTACCACCACCACCCACACAACCATCTACCACCACCACCCACACAACCATCTACCACCACCACCCACACAACCATCTACCACCACCACCCACACAACCATCTACCACCACCTCCCACACAACCATCTACCACCACCACCCACACAACCATCTACCACCACCACCCACACAACCATCTACCACCACCACCCACACAACCATCTACCACCACCTCCCACACAACCATCTACCACCACCTCCCACACAACCATCTACCACCACCATCACCCACACAACCATCTACCACCACCACCACCCACACAACCATCTACCACCACCACCCACACAACCATCTACCACCACCTCCCACACAACCATCTACCACCACCACCCACACAACCATCTACCACCACCACCACCCAGCACAACCATCTACCACCACCACCCACACAACCATCTACCACCACCACCCACACAACCATCTACCACCACCTCCCACACAACCATCTACCACCACCACCCACACAACCATCTACCACCACCACCCACACAACCATCTACCACCACCACCCACACAACCATCTACCACCACCTCCCACACAACCATCTACCACCACCACCACCCACACAACCATCTACCACCACCACCACCCACACAACCATCTACCACCACCACCCACACAACCATCTACCACCACCTCCCACACAACCATCTACCACCACCACCCACACAACCATCTACCACCACCACCCACACAACCATCTACCACCACCACCACCCACACAACCATCTACCACCACCACCCACACAACCATCTACCACCACCACCACCCAGCACAACCATCTACCACCACCACCCACACAACCATCTACCACCACCACCCACACAACCATCTACCACCACCACCCACACAACCATCTACCACCACCACCCACACAACCATCTACCACCACCACCCACACAACCATCTACCACCACCACCCACACAACCATCTACCACCACCACCCACACAACCATCTACCACCACCTCCCACACAACCATCTACCACCACCTCCCACACAACCATCTACCACCACCATCACCCACACAACCATCTACCACCACCACCACCCACACAACCATCTACCACCACCACCCACACAACCATCTACCACCACCTCCCACACAACCATCTACCACCACCACCCACACAACCATCTACCACCACCTCCCACACAACCATCTACCACCACCTCCCACACAACCATCTACCACCACCACCACCCACACAACCATCTACCACCACCACCACCCACACAACCATCTACCACCACCACCCACACAACCATCTACCACCACCACCCACACAACCATCTACCACCACCACCCACACAACCATCTACCACCACCACCACCCAGCACAACCATCTACCACCACCACCCACACAACCATCTACCACCACCACCCACACAACCATCTACCACCACCTCCCACACAACCATCTACCACCACCACCCACACAACCATCTACCACCACCACCCACACAACCATCT